TCTCAAATTTGACTTTTATAACTTTAATATGTTCTTTAAGGGTTCTGGTTTGTTTTGTGACTGTGGAGATAAGCCAGGACTTAGGGCATTTGTCAAGGAAAAGAATTTGAAATTTTTTGGCAAGTTTTGTGATAAAAATTTGTGAAGTTTTGTTATTTTTATAAATTATTGAGACTTTAGGAAGCCTTTGTTTGTTATTAACGAGGACTATATCAAGAAGGGTATATTCATGGTTTGGGTTGAGAGGTTTGGGAGGGGGCTTCCCTCCTCCTTGTTTTTTTCTTGAGACGAAATTTTGTTTTCTTGAGTATTTCCTAATTTGGTAGTTTTAATATGATTAGGAGAGAGTTTTTTTTTTAAATAATTGTATATTGTTAATTATTATTAATTATTATATTATATTATATTATATTAATTTTTAACTTTTAATTTAATATTATTATTTCAAAATTTAATATTAAAAATTTTGATAATTACTAATATTAATATTAAAAAAATTTTTAAATATTGGTTTTATAAAATATTATACTAAATGATATTAGTTGGAACTTTAATATTTTTTATAAAAATTTGTTAAAATTATATTTTCTAATACTATTTATTTTAAAAAAATATTTGATTATTAAATAATAAATATCAATTATAAATTTATTTTGAATATTTTTAAGTAATATTAAAAAAGTAAAAAATCAAATAATTAGTTCAATTACAAATAATAATAAAAAAAGTATTTCTATTAAATTTGAAGATAAATATTTATAAAATATTTATTTATTTAATAAAATAAAATTATAAAAAATTTAATACAAATTAATAAAATCTTAATATATTGGTTTAAATTTAATTTTCAAATAAGTAAATAGTAATAAGTCCATATATTTGAATAGTTTATATAGGTTTCTAATAGTATCATTTCAGTATCAAGTTGTTATTAAATTTATTATGAGTTTAATATAGTGGATTACAACTTATATATTAAATTTATTGTAAGTTAATAACATTTTAATACTATTTCAATATTAATTTGGAATTCTAAAAATATATAAAGTATCAAAATATTAATAAAGCAAGATTCAATTGATTATAAAATAAAATAAAAACAAATATGCAATCTAATACTTTACATATGAATATGCCTATGTCAATCCTAATCATGTGACCAACAGCATTTTGACGTGTCATTTACGCGTATATATGAAAAATATTTTTTTCTTATTCTATCATGGATCGTGAACCGCAACTTTTTGTGGATCGATATTTTGAGTTTCGTTGCAAAGAAAATATAAAAAGCGTCCACTATTATTTTAAGAATCAAAAGGTCTATTCGAAACTTCAGGCCTTTATGCGTTTCATTAATAGTGACTTTACTAAATAAACTTCACTACGTCTGACCCAGTTAGAGCTTTCTGCACTTACTTACCTCTCATGGTTAAAGGAGTATTATTTCGCTATTATTTTTTAATTAGTACACATGAATCCTTACACAAATAAACAGTCTGAACTTGGATTAGCAAATATAGAAATATATCGCAATTTCTTTTCCAATGTATATGCGGCCAAATCAGTGTATAAACTATCATCTGTTCTTCACAGTATTGTTGAGATAAGTTGATATGCATGCATTCATATTTGTTCCGAACATAATGCTCAGCACTATAATCTTGCAGGCTACTGTACATCTTGGAACGAGAACCAAATGCGTTTCAAGCTTATTTATAGCAAAGCCTCATACGTCTATAGAAAAATCAAAACCATCTTGACCTTCATCTGTAGGAACTCCAAGAACTTAATAGAAATTCCACGAACATTTGATAAAGAAGGGTTTTAACAGTACGTCTCATTCTTCTGCTTTCTACGAACAGTTTTGTATTCTAATAGTGGCAGTTGTTTTTTTCATGTGACAGATATATTAAAGATATTCCATAATATGTGCATTTGGAAAAACAATTGAGAATCTGAAAAAGAAATAAGTTAGGAACTCGCTAGGGAGATATTAACCCTGAAGTGTGGACACGTACCCTGGAAAGTTATATAGACACCGTTCCTGATGAGAATGAAGAAACATTTAATAATAGCCCAGGGCAACTATTGGGCGTTAGAGATAAGCTTTTACGATTATATGCGAAAAAGTTTTTATTGATTTGTAAGTAGACATTAGTATCTACTAATTTAACACTTTATCACTGACAATTTTTTTGGGGGGGTCATTATCTCGTGGATGTTAATCCTATAATGGACAGAAAAATTAATGAGAAAACATATAGTGTATCAAGTTTTTCATTATTCAAGTTCTATGAGCGAACATTTATTTAGTTGAATTCGATTGGATTGAATCACATGCCCATACTGCGAAAATTATGAAGTCTTCTACAAATTCTGGATCTGTTCGAGAAGACATTAAGGGAACAAAAATTTCTGGTGACTTTGATATATTTCATATGGAAGTCGTGGGTCTCCATATAATGCAACCTTGAAACATATAAGTGATGCGAAGAAAACCATGTGAACGGATATTTTAAATTTGATCACGGTGCTATGAAATCTCCTTGATTGTAGCATAAGTCTTGTAACAAAGATTAGTATGTATAATATGCAATCTATCAGTAAGTAGAATGCATTATTTATATTTGTGTTAGTAATTGTATTTAACTGATAATTTGATCTTATCTTTACAGATGCTCGACTAACTTTATATGCATTAAGCATGCTTTCTGATGCCGTTTCCTCATTACTGAGTTTGCCACTGCCGTTATGCCTTTTAACTTTAATGGTCGAGATCAATACAAAGTCATCCTTAGAATGATGGTTATCTTCCACGTACGTACTTAAATCGGTTGCCCGATATAATGCATTTATTTCCAATATATTACTCATTCAATGGTTTCTTTTTGTAGGATAAAATTACAAAACAAGAGAAATTAATGAAAGAAATTAATTGGTTTCTACTTAGGCCAATGGAACCGACAATCCGTCATGTATTAAAGATTTCCTAATTGGAATAATACTGATTTGTCATCATATTTTTTTTTCGTTCCAATTTATATCTTTGTGTATTTTTTTTTAATTCATTTTTAAAGAATATTTACAACAAATTAAAGTGTAATTTGCGAGTGATCTGTGATATACATTAAGGTTTTTTTACTTTACCATGCATCCATGTCGGTCATCAGACGGTGGATGATGCCTGGAAATGTGAAGAGGAGATAATCATGTCGGTCGTCATGACGGTGACCTCAACCCAGTCTCGTTTGTTGGTTTAGCTCTCAGGTGGTCGACAAACGGAGGTATGGGAAGAAGATCTTGCATTTTTATATTATTGCAATCCCTTCATTAACGCATTTTCGAATACTTTAGATGGATCATAGTTAACTTGTCGCAACCACCATTGAAGGATGTGAAGGGAGAACTCTCTTCTATAGTTTTCAGTCGTTGATGTAACCAATAGCAGAAATAATGATCAACTGCTTATGGTCCTAAAAGAAATCAGTCTGTAATCAGAGATCATCTCGATTCTTCAAAGAATGATTGATAAATGTGATCTATCTGTTTTTTTTTTAAAGATGTAACCTTATCTTGCTGGGTGGATAATAAAGATGAATTCGAAAATCAACTTTATCGTAAATATGCGCGGGTAGTAGTGTTGATCAAAGTGCTTCGATTCAAGCCTTGAATATTGCGCTTAACACCGAACATTATCTACGGATTTTATTCATCGAACAAAATCCAATACCCTCAAAATGTTCATTTAAAAGACTCAATAAGCAGCAACAACCTTACCTACACAAAACACATCAAAGCAAGCTTGACCTACAGCGAAGATTTCTCGGGGATCTTTCTTATTTCAGCATTTGAATCATTGTCACAGTTCTGTTATGTAAGTAAACTAATAAACTGGAGAATTTTCTTGTCAAGGATATATCTATTCAAGTATTTTGTTATTTCAGATACATGTATAATAAGAATATTTATCGGAAAATTTTATAGATAAAAATAATTCTACATTAACAAATATTTATTTTTTAACAAAATTAAATGTTCGACGAATTTAAATTCGACTTAAAATATTCAAGATTTTTTAATTTTCGCATCATCATACATATTACATATTTTTACAAAAGTTTTCAAATATTTATATACCTATTTTTTCTTATACTAATTAAATTTATTAATTTTTTTTTTCATGTAATGATTAAATAAAGAGATTTTATATTCTATACATCGTTATCATAGAAATTATTTATACCAAAAATCATAACGTTTATCAGATTTTCTATATTTATTTAAAAAAAAAAAAAAAAACAAGATTTAATTAATACTTATATTAAAATAGAAATATTCTAACAATTAATAGTGAGACGTTGCTGTTAACGGAAAACAGGTAATATTTAACTTGATGCTCACTAGTTAATGCAAACAGATGACCCTGGTTGTTTTTATTAAATGAAAATATAAACGTTATCACGTTTAATTCATTGGTCGGAATTGGTAGCTTACAATGAACATTCTGGATCAATCATTTTGGAAGCAAAAAAGCTTTTTGTTCTTGTTCACCCAATGCCTATAGTACTGTCACCGATGCAATTTGTCAATCATGGATAAACAAGCGAATATCGGAGCATAATATTTGACATACGACCAATAACCCGATTAGTAACAAAGAAACGATGCAAAAACATTGTTTAATCTATCTATAAATACATAAATACAGTATATGATTATTCGCGCTTGTATAATTATGGCAATCATATAATTCATTCTTATGTAGAGTAATTCAGACAATATGCAGTATAAAAAAAACCGATGAGTATGATAATGTTTTAAGGTTAGTGTGTGCACTCAGGGCTCCTTTTATTTCCATAACATAAAAAATTGCTTGGCAAAAATAAAATGTGTAAAAATGAAGCCTTGGTATGTTTGTAGAATATTGGCGCCTATGGAATCAAAGAAAGTCGGTTGTACATCCGCACGTAAAAAACCAATACTTCACGATTGTGAAAGTAAATTCGAGTGTACGTTTTTTTTGTTTTTTTTTACAAAATTCTATGCACGTTACACGCACTGGTAACTGTGCAAATTAGTTTATATGAAAATCTGATATGAGGAACATACCCGTTATTACAATAATTCTAGTAAAATGTGCGTATAAGCAATAAATAGTTACTGACGCTCAAGGAATCACTTATTGTTTATTTTTATTTGGCTTCTTATTAGGAATTTACACAGCATAATATAAATTGCCAATAAATTTGCAGTGTGAAACATTTTTCAATTTGTGAAATAATGAAAATTGCAGCAGAATGATCCGAGCAAAACTTCTTTGGTTATAAAAACAATTTTGTTTTCTCATGTGAATGCAACAATTTTTGATTTACCTTCGTCTTTCTGGGCGCAAATATATATATATATACTATTTTTATATTCTTTTCATACGTCAAATTCCAGAATAAGAATATGAGAATGCACACAAGTTGCAAAAATTGTTTTTTGAAGAAATCATGAAAGAACGAGTCGGTTTCGAAGCATTCTCATCATATTTGAAAAATCAGATTTGGCTGTCGTGAATTCATCAGAATGCTATGAAAGTACAGGTTTCATTGTTCACGACATTATTAATCTATTGACCAGATTATTGTTTTCATTTAGGAGTAATACAAATATTAGTATTTGATCATCATCATTGTGATTATTATGTGCATGCAAAATTAATAAAAGGGAATGTTCCCTGGATAAGTCAGACTTCCTTCACTGCGAAGAAAAAATTTTGTTTTTTTGACGAATTTCAAACACACACTCTTTATATAAATGACGTCCCATAATACGACTGGTAGAACCAGCGGTAATCGTCGATTGTCTGCATCGTTCCGTTATGTTGACGGGAGGAGATTTCACAATGTCAAAGGCTCCAGTTATCCATTACCAAACGATGAACTTGAAGTTATCAGGATGGACGCTCAGCACGAACTTATGCGAGGTGTATGGGATGGAGATTTCGTGTCTCCAATTAAGGACGACTTGATCGCCGGAGGCTTACACGTCTTGGATGTAGGGTATATATATGAGATCATTGTTTCCACATATTATCGGTAGCTAGAGTTAAGGAAAATACGTATATATATAATACTTTTCATTACAGCTGTGGAAGTGGCACATGGCTATTGCAACTCGCCCGGGATTATCCTTTGAATCACTACACCGGTATTGATATGTCACCGGTGTTTCCCAAAAACATCGAGCTGCCAAATGTAAAATTTATTCAGGCCAATGTATTGCAAAGAATGCCTTTCGACGCAAATTCATTTGACTTCGTGCACATAAGATTTCTCAACACGGCATTTACCGAACGACAATGGGAAGAAACAGTTATCCCCGATTTGACCAGAGTCACAAAACCTAAGGGATGGTTGGAATTATGTGAATTCGATATCGACGGTCAGTCCTTTGGCCCCGCTTCTCGACGAATGGTTTCTGCTTGTAAGTGAGATGGATGGATGAAGGTTAAAAAGGGGTGATGCAAACTAATGTGAGTACTTCCCGTCTTTTTGACAGTAACAAGTTATCTCGGATCGAAAGGAATCAACGGTTTGATCAGTGAAGAAATTTTGGAATTTTTGGAATCGATGGAAACCTTTGAAGTAATTCGCACGGAAGAAAAATTTTCTGGTCTGGGAAAATGGGCAGGGCACTTGGGTGACTTGGTAAGTGTGTGAACAGATAGATGCACATCATCTTCCTTAAGAATATCATAACACGAATGCGAATCATCATTCTTTTCTCCTTGTGTTTCTCGAAGGCCATAAAATCTTTTATCGCCGCATTTCGCGGCATGAAGGAATTACCCGGGTGGATGGGCATAGAAGAAGAGGAGTATAACGAGATGGTAGACAAATATGCTCAAGAAGTAGAAAAGTACCGGTCGTTCTTCGTTTCTCACAGGTTTTACTGTCGAAAAAGCGATTCGACTTCTCTCTGAAAAAAAAAAACATGACCGGCATCGGTTCGTCAAACAAAAAACAATCTCTTTCATTTTTCTTAAAATTAAGTGAACAATAAACCAGTAATAATAGAATAGAATAATGATAAGTAGAATTGGAAAAACGCACGATAATAGTAAATAGAAACGACGTTGGTTTGGTTTTCTTATTTTTTAAGGTTGGGGTTGTGAAACAAAGTGTAAAAAGAGTTTCTTTTATAATAGGTCGTGTAACATTGTTGTACCTGTGATGTTCTGAAAATCGAAGTGCGAAATGTCAGTCGGATGACATTCGATAACAAACAATCAACATCCAAAAAAACCTGATCTTTTCCTGTGAAATGGAACCTGTAACAACAGTGATATATAACTGTATAATAATTAACTAATAAATAAAATAAATAAAAAAAAAAGGAAAAATACTAAGTTTAATAGCTGTGTGTTCACGTTCAGAAAGTATACAGGCAACACCGCTTAACTATAAAATGCCATTATAACTGAATTATGTTATCCTTGCTTCGAAAAACTTATCCGACTTTGAAGGGTATATCGTATTTACGTATATAACATTAAATAAAGTCGAGGAGCCAAAGGCATTAGGAGCAATACAAGTTTTTGGCGACTAATGAGGCCACAAAGGCTCGGTTGGCCCTGCTCTCCAGGAAGCCCAGATGATGGGCGAGCGACAGCCGAAGTTGACATCCGCGAAGCAGAAATTTTGCTGATATGCAACGAAGACTTTCGTTTAGCTGCTAGTATAGTGGCCATCCTAAGAGACAAGGGTGCCCGAGTTATTAAGATTTTTTATCCCGAAAATTTATTACAAGTATATATACAGTATATACATATATATATAGTTAATCATTTTTTTGGAAAGTGGTCATTCATCTAATTACTAACTCGTCATTTGTAATTAGTATGATAATATGGAAATTGACGCAATTAAAGTCCCGGGATGTTGGGAATCTCAAAACCACTTCGAGTGGAGCATCTCTAGTAAGAAACTTTTCGAAGAAAATTCCCAGCTTTCCATCGATTGACTCCTTGATTCATTCATCTTCACCACTTTCCTCAGATGCGACAATAGTGATCAGTATGTTTTATAATAATTTTGACAAACAAGAGATGCTACTAAATGCCTGCATAAGACAAAATGTGGAATTATTTCTTGGATGGGACGCAGGAATGGAGCTGTAAGGAATTATACAATTAATTAACAGTGACTTGTTATTATTATTATTGTCGTTATGTTGATTTGCTAGGAAACAGTTTGATGGTATTTGGCGTGAACCTGGTTGATCAGTCGTTTATTAATAAATTATATTAATTGCCAAAAGTATTGGATCTCAATTTCAATTAGAGAACATTACGTCACGGATAAAAGGAGCC